CAGTGTGTGTCTGTGATTAACAGTGTCTGTATCTCTGTGTTTCAGAGTGGCAGTGGCTGTGCAGTGCCGCAGGTAGGTCTGTCTCCTACTTGTTGAAGATGAAGACAAAATAAACACACTGATGCTGTAACAAAGAGGGGTTATTTTAGTCCTCTGGGGTCGGGGCTGTTGAGCACAATCCCAGGATATCTCTTTAGTATGAAGTTGAAATTACACATTGGCATTTGTACTGTGTAAACAGCAGTAGCTGTGTACAGTCCTATGTTTCTGTAAATTCCAACATGGTAATTTCATCTCCCATGCAGGATGGAAAGATCAATAGGCGCTTCAAGGTGGGAATATCTGTCTCAATCTAATGGCCAATAGGGAATTCTCTGCTAGTGGGGTAAACAGTGCAGAAAACCTTTCACCCAAATGCTATGTGCTGTGGTCTGTGCTATTGAACTGGGATACAGGAGTCCCCTTCACAGTACAGGGCTGATATACAGGGTGTCTATGCTTCTGCCCTGACAGACTCTCCTGTGGGATGAGTCTGTGATTTGTACGCTGTCCAGTTCTACATGGAAACTGTGATATTTCAGTGGAGGATGTTGCCTTGCCAGTGTCTGGGCCAGGTCACACTTTCCCCTCTCGTCCAGCAGACAAGGAGATTGCTGTTCACTGGATAACTCCCAGGAACTGTCAGAAAACAAAAAGGCACTATATAAACTAAAAGTTAGAATCTTTAAGAAAACGGTCATTATGTGCTGTTTGTTTTATGCTTCGTATGTGAAACATCCTACAGTAATCCAGCTATTTACAGAAGAGAGGGTATTTTGCACACCGTTAGCTGGAGTTTCTCTCTGCCCTTGTCTGAGAATAATACTTTATTTACTTGGGGTCTTTAATGACCTATCGTCTCTCCCGCTGTTGTCCATTTTCGTCCTGCAGTTAACGTGACCCTTGATCCTGATACAGCTCACCCTGAGCTCACCCTGTCCGAGGATGGGAAGAGGGTGAGACTAGGAGAGCCGAGGGATGTCCCGGACAGTCAGGAGAGATTCGACTGCCGGCTCTGTGTCCGGGGCAGCGAGGGGTTCACCTCTGGGAGACGCTACTGGGAGGTAGAGGTGAACGGTGACTGGAGAATAGGTGTGACCAAAGAGTCGGCCAGTGTTAGAAGCTGGGTCCAGTTTGTTCCTGGAGATGGGTACTGGTGCCTGGAGTCTTTCTCCTCTCAGCAGAGCGTGCGATCCAAGTCAGTGGGGGTGTGTGTGGATATTGAGGAGAGGAAGGTCTCCTTTTACACAGTGGAGTCCAGGACTCACATCTTCACGTTCACCGACATGGAGTTCGGTCAGGGAGAGAATATCTATCCTGTCTTCGGTACCTGGGATCGATCGAAAGACCTTGTGCTGCTGCCTCCTGTCCGCTGTGGAAATGAGAGACGTCATTGACTCATGAACACAGGCTGACTTGCTCACAGCTTACTTGGAAAAGATCAATAGAGTCACAGCATGTTCGACAAACGTGAGACTCTGTCCAGGCAGTATTGGAATGTTATATATTTTTGGGGGGGGTTCTGTATCTGCACTGATGTTTTGTCTTAAATGCTCACTTGGACTGTGAAAAATTTGAACAATGATGGTATTATATAGTGTTAATATGATGGCAGTTATATTGATGACTGGCTGCTCTTTTTTATGGAAAGTAATAGTAGTGGGGGTGTTGACACTAGAAACTGGTTTGTTGTTTATTACTTTTTTTTCTCTCTCATTTTCTCCTCACAGAGATGAGGAAAATGGTGGGGGTTGAAATGGAAATCTAATAAGTAAATTGATTCTTAAAATGTAGAGAGCTTTAGGAAAATATATAACAAGGATGTAACTGCTGTGCTACGTGCAGATTTTTAGAAGATAGTGCGTCAACAAAGTATGCACTGTCTAGGTTACTTTTAGAAGACAGTGTATCAAAACAGTATGTACTGTCTGGGTCATTAGATTAGCCGAAGGTTACTGATAAGCTTTGCAAAAAATATACTGGTGCTTCTTTTTTTTGTTTTTATGATGTAATCTGTTTTTGTCCTGAGGAAAGTGCCAACAGGGCTCCCAATATTGCAATATTGAAATAAAGACCTTACGCAGGTGAGAACGCTCTCTTGTGGCTTCCTTGATAGTTATATTTCCATGACAGGGTCTTTCCACAGCTCTGGAGAGGGGTGATGGGGCTGGAGACACCCCCTGTGTGGGGGGTAGGGGGGGGTCCCTATTTTCCCAATAGGGTTGTGACCATGCTGCTGAGCCTTGACGCTTGGTCTTATTGTTCTAGACTAGCGCGGAGATTCTGACCAGGGCAGGGTGTGGCCATTGGTATTTGTGGTGGGCAGTGGAGGCTGGTGGTCAGGCAGTGACCGCTGGAGTACCTCCTGCTGGTTGGGAACATGCAGGGCAGGAGATCAGGGGTCTGACTGCTGTTTTGATGCAGGGGGACACGGCAGGGCAGCCCCACTGTAGACGGGCACACTGTAGATGGACAGACTGTTGTCCCTGGCCTCTTCAGTGCTGACTGAGATGCGGACTGGGATTCCTGGATTCTCTGTCGGCAGCTCCCTCTGTCTACCTGCGCTGACGATGTGGTGGTCCTTGTGGGAGGAGAGAACGATGCTCAACAGCTCTGGGAGGTGTAGCGACACTTGCAGGCTGGGGGGTCTGGTTTAGAAGCTGTGATCTAGGGTGTTAAGTAGCTGCACCAGCTAACTCAGCCCTGATGAGAGTAAACTGGTACTGCACAGGTCTCCCATCTCCAGTAGTAGGCGTTACAATTACTTCCTTAAAGAAGCAGCCACTCCTGTCTGGCCTGGAGTATAAGATCAGCTCAGCTAATCATTACAGGAGTGTTCAGCACCCTATAGCATTGTCTAAAGCATGGCAGCTTATCTGTAATTATTCAAGTATAATAACACACAATGACTGTGATCCAGGTCCTACTAGACACAACATTTCAGCAGCAGATGTTCTTACACGATTAAGGGTAAATGGGTTGTGAAATTGATGCCCAAAGCCTGGATATGAAATACTTGCCTCTCTCCAGTGGACTCTTTAGGTCCAATCCTTTTTTGCATTGTAGAGATAAATTTGATTTCTTTGACTTAGTTGTCTTAAATATTTTTTCCTCCTGGTGATTTAGAAAGTGAAATAATGGCCACTGCACACCGTGTAATGAGAAAACGCTTTATTGTGGAGCCATGATTCTCTAGGTGAGGTGACAACATACAGACACAATTAGAGATGACTGTACCCTTCTTGTTTTCTTCTGAAGTCTCAGTTTAGACGGGTAAACACATTTGTGCCGACCCTGTGAATGAAAAATACCGAAAAGTATGTTAACGCAATGTTTGTCATTAGAGTTATCAGTAAATGTTTTCATTTACATTCTTGTTTTTGAACTCTTTCTATAACATTTAAACAGTACTTAAGTAGCCTAGTGAAAAGTCTCTGAATGTGGAAAATATCATTGTCCTGCCAGTAGGGGGCACTGCAGGATAGAGGCCCTGGCTCAGGACTCATTAGCTCTGCCCTGTCCTGGAGGGTTGGTATCCAGTCCTTATCCAGTCTCTCTTCTTTCATGATTGAGAAATATCTGCAGGCATTACACTGTAACTTGACTCTTAATGAGAACAATCAACTCATTATGGGCTAAATTGGGCCAACATGCAGGTTTCTCCTGGCTCTCTGGGCTCTGTGTTCCAAGAAATCTCAAAGACGGGTCCTCCAGGCCCAGGAATGGAGAACCTGGCATTACCTGAAAGCTGATGGATTCCTCAAGGCCACCCTCTTGAGCCAATTGGCCTGAGTGTAGAGAGACTGGACAGCTAGAGCAGACTGAACTGTTCGAAGAGATGCTCACACTGTACAGGTGCACTGTATACTCCCTGCGCCTGTAGTGTCCCAGCTTGTCCTGGACACTGAATACTGATGACCCAGTGCATGATGGGAGCAAGGCTACTGAGCATTACAGTGCGCCGCCTGCCCCAGAATGAACACGCAGTGAACTCGCCTGGTCTGGGACCAGTTGTCCTCCTCTGTGGCCGCTGAGCCCCTGAGCAGCCATGTCGTCTGAAGGCGTTCAGTGCCATCCTTCTGCACGAAGCACTGCCCGACGAAGGAGGTCACAGAGTCTGCACAGAAACAGCACAGGCTGTGAGAGAGACAGCGTGCCATCATCTCAACACTTTCATTTTTAATGGGATGTGCATTTCCTGCAGTCATCAGGTTCGCCCACTACTTTGGTCCTCATGAATGAAACGTCTCCACAATGGGGCGGGGCCTAGCCTGCAGCTCCGCCCCCTCCTCTGCTGCAAGAACACACAGCTGTCTGACTGCGCTCCTGGAGAGCTGCTGGCCGCTGGCTGGATTTACACTGCAGACCCCAGCTGAGTGACGGTGTATGAATGGCCAGAGGAGGGCAGCAGAACCCTTCTTGAGATAACATAACCTCTGTAGCAGAATATAAAGGTATGAAAATGTGAGCAAGGAAATCTTGTTTCGTTATAGATAGACTATGTAGGAAAACAGGTAGGAGCGGGTAACTGAAAGTTTGAAATAGGAAAACAGCTGGAGAAAAAGGTTCCCCTACTTGAAAAAGTCCAGTTGACCAGGAATCCAAACACTCTTTGTTGAGTGTCGGCAGTGAACACATTCAGGTTTCCCATGAGTGGTGACTCCTTGGTGACCAGGTTGCTGTTGGCGGTCACCGTGGTGTGGTAGGTGCCAGTGAAAAAGCCATTTTTATCCAAAGGACTGAGGGTCATGATGGAGCCCAGCTCATTCTTCCATTTTCCTTCTAGATTGCACTGAAATTACATTCGAAATGGGATTACAGGGATTGTTCGTCAGGATAATGCTCTGTTTCACCATTGACATCTTCTTATAGAAGAAATTGAAAAGGCAAACAGAATGGTGGGGTTTAAATCAAGGGGTGAATAAACTGTATAATTCATTAGTGAGGCCTCATTAGAATATCAAGTACAATTTTAGTCACCATGCTATATGAAAGATTTTGCAGCTCTGAAATCAGTACAGAGAAGAGAAAGCAGATACATTTTGGAGCTATAGGGAGTGTCCCACTGATAGGCTGAAGGAACTAAGTCTCTTTAGTCTGAAAGCAGTGTCCTACACTGATGTCTGAAGGAATTGAGTCTCTTTAGTCTGAAGGGGGTGTCGTACACTGACAGTCTGAAGGAACTGGGTCTCTTTAGTTTGAAGGCAGTGTCCTACACTGACAGTCTGAAGGAACTGAGTCTCTTTAGTCTGAATGGAATTGTCCTACACTGACAGACAGAAGGAAGTGAATCTTTGAAGATTTTGAACTGTATTCAAAGAAATCATCAGTGTCACACCAGCAGTTTTTTTTCAGAATGAACACTAACATATGAACCAGAAGGTTCAGGGAAATGCATTTAAAACTGAGAACAGGGGCACTTCATTACACAAAGGCTGTGTAAGGTAGTGCAACAATGACAATATTATCACTTTAACAATGAAACTTCATTATCATTCGGCCACTATAAAGAAATGCTGTTATAATGCCATGGTGAAGCATTTGTAATACCAGAAAGTTTGTATAAAAAAACTCACCAGGAGCCATCTTTGCCGTGATTGTGGAAATAAAATGAAAATATATATCTTGTAAGCAAGAAAGTCATGTCAGGTCTTTTAGCCAAACAATTACATTTGGAAAGACACAAAACTGTTACTGACCTTGTGGGGTTACTATCCCCAGTGTGATGAGATACTGCCCTGCATGGTCTCTACTAAAGGACTTGAGGACAGTTCACAAGGCACAGAGTTCGAATTGCAGACGAGCAGCTTACCTTGCTGTTGACAAGGCACTCGTACCCTCCGATCCAAGAGATCAGCGTGAGAGAGAGGAGGACCGTTCCCAGTCTCGTGTTGGAAGAGGACATGTTGTGGACGATTGGGGCGTCTCCACTGTGTCTCCTGTCTGCAGTAGCCTGTTCTGTCAGAGCAGTGAGAGTCGGGACAGTTTGCGCTCACTTATAACTGCTCCGTGCTGGCGGTTCATAAATCATCACCGCCCTCTTTAGTCAATAAAATTATTAATTCACCCCTCATATCTTCAATTACAACTTCCTCAAGAGCTGATCACGCCTTCAGTGCTTTAAGGTGAAAAGGCACATCAAGTCCTCACTTACACAATGAAAATCAGATCAGGAATATATCTAATTTGTTATGTACCCAGTGTTTCTTAACAGAAACCTATCCAGATGTACATTTTTTAAATTCAAGACAATATTGGCAAGAGTCACACTCCAGGTGTAATAATATTAAGCATATAAAGCCCTATTCCTGTGTAATTAGAGTCAGCAATACAATAACAAGACTGTTGGCAATTGCTGAAGATCACAGTCCCAAGCACTGTAAATTCCAATTTGTCTTTTGGTGCAGAAATGATCATGTTGGCAAATTCATCTTTATTTCAAAATCCAGAGTTTGCTTTCCAAAGTATTTGGTATTTCTTAGGGATACTTTTACAGCCCTATCCGTCCAGAAGCCATTTCCACCTGGAAGTATGTCCCCTTAAACATCTTGCATTATCTTGTAAAGTATAGACCGTGTGGGGCCGGTTTAGGGCTTGAACTACGTTTTTAATTTCTCTTACTCGGTACACACACTAAAAAGACATATTCAAAACAAAAACAGAAAAAGCAACAAACACTTTTTATTTCTCAATAACCTTCAAATGGGTTTTTCATGTTGTAGCACATGAAAAGATCCAGTGTTTTCCAAGATTTTCCAAGGATCTTCCAACCTTCCCAAAATGTAAAAATTGTGCAGATCATAATGGCCTGTCATGCACTAGCTTAAGGAGCAAATTTTATTAATCTCTTATATTTTAGATTGCATAAACATCATTTTTCAATCCATTTTTTTCCTTGTAGTTTACTATTTTAATCCAAAAGGTGGCCTTTTCAGAAAGGATTAAGGTGTCCAGAATGCATCCATCATAAGCATGCATAACAAATACTCCATTTCATATGCACACAACTATCAGACTCTCTCTTTCTGTAAAACGTCT